TCAGAATGTTTTTGTGGAGATTTTTAGAAATTTTCACAGATTGAACTCATGAGTCAGTTGTGAGATAGGAACTCACTGAAGACAATGGTGTACGGTGGCGCAACTTCGTGGATTGGTTGAAGTTAGACATTAACACCGTTGGATGCCGGCTCAGTGGTCTAATGGTTAAGTGCTCGCGCGCGAAGCCAGTAGGTGCTGGGTTCGAGCCCCGGGTGGTGCGGGGTCGTGGGTGCGCACTGCTGAGGAGTCCATACTAGGACGAAACGGTCGTCCAGTGCTTCCAGGTTTTCAATGGTGGTCTAGCTCAACTGACTCATGATTTCAATCTGTGAAAATTTCTAAAAATCTCCACAAAACACATTCTGATAATAATATGAAGTTAATTTAGACTTCACCTCATTGTACAACCAAATGGCTATCAAGACTCAATAGCGAAGTGGAGAACATGATAGCGTTTGAAGCAATCGATACTGGATTCAAGTCTCAGAGTGAATATCAAATGTGAGATACAGGTACACTTAGCCAACGAGTCGTAAATCGGACGAAATGGCACACGTCCTAGATTCCACTTCTAGCCACCATCCATCTTCACTTATAAATAAATAATGTTTCAAATAATATAGAATGAATCATCACAAACATTTAAGTAGTATGGAATTTATCATTTAAAAAAAACAATTATAACCCACTACAATTTGTTTCCCCTTTTTAACATGAATCCTATATATATATTGAAACAATTCAATGAGTCATAAAGTAATAAGAATGTCATTTTCATGTAAATGTCACCTAAATACTTAATTATTATCATTGAATCTTTCATTATTCATTCATTGACTACTATATATAGATGAATAATGATGTAGTTATGTAGTGCAAGTCAATTACACTTTCATTGGTTAATTGATTTTCAAGAAAAATAGAAGAGGATAAAATAATTAATCAATAATTTTATTCCTAATCAACATATGCTAACTAGTGACTGGCTTCAAGAGATATATCCTGGAGTTCTAGTGAAAAGCAGTGACCAGTGAAGTTCAACCGGGTCAGTTGTAAGGTAGTAACTCACTGATGACAATGGTGGATGTGTCGCTCAATTTTGTGGATTAGTTGAAGTCAGACATCTACAACGTTGAATGTCGGCTCAGTGGTTTAGTTGGTTAGGCGCCTAGAGCGAGACTGATAGGTCTTCGGTTCGAGTCCCGCGAGGCGGGGTCGTGGATGCGCACTGCTGAGGAATCCCACAACAGGACGAAACGGCCATCCAGTGCTCCTAGGTTTTCAATGGTGGTCTAGCTTCAATTGACTCATGATCTCAACTGTTAAGTTATATATATTACAATTGAATGTGGTAATTAAATGAATAGTTTTTAACAGATGTGATGTGTACTACTGATATTGATCGATATATAAGTGGTATGTATCATCAATCGAAAGTGAAATACCTGACAACAGAAGACTAAGATGGTCAAAGAAAAAAGACTGTGAGTAGGAAATCATTAGTATGGAAACGAAAGAACAATCAAATCTAAGACAAAGTAGATCCTAGCGGAGGAATAAATCAGGAAGAAGCGCTGGAAGTGGATCGGACGCACATTGAGGAAAGCACTGAACTACGTCATAAGATCAGCCCTCACATGGAATCCTCAAGGTCAAAGGAGGAGAGGAAGACCAAAGAACACATTATGTCGAGAAATGGAGATAGACATGAGAAAAATAAACAAGAATTGGATGGAACTAGAAAAGCAGGGCCAAGACAGAGTGGGTTGGAGAATGCTGGTCGGTGGCCTATGCTCCATCAGGAGTAATAGGCGTAAGTAAGTAAGTAAGTTAATGTATTTATTATACGGTTTTCACATTTTACTAGGGTGTTCTGTAATTTTGTGTTAAAATACATTCGATTGTCTTCACATGTATGTTCTCGTTCACTACAATACTATATAGATACTTAAAATCACCCATAGTGTCATTGAATAGGAAAAAGAAGAAAATTTTCTTTTCGACGAAATAAACGGATTTCGAAATCATTGAATAAAACATTCCACGCAGCTAAGCTTCGAATCATCTTCTCTAGCCAACCTACCATTCTGGGGTGTGTTAAGGACAAACTTTCGCTTTGGGCCACTTCAATGTGTATCTATAAATTTACTTACTCATGTGGGGCATGTTACATAGGCCGCATAAAGCGATCATTATCCAAACGCATCTCGGAACATTATCCGGCTTGGCTCTTGAAAGGGGAGCGAAAAACAATCACGAGTTCTATACAGGAGCACTTAATCAACTGTGGACATATCGCTCCAAAAGACTCTTCGTTTAAAATAGTTCACAGAGTCAAAGGAATTGGATCGAAGGGAGTTCGAATCAATATTTTATGCACCGCAGAGGCATTGGCAATCCACAAACTAAAGCCTGAACTTTGCGTGCACAAACGATTTGTTTAACCTCTCATCCTTCCCTGGCTCTAATTCCCTTAATGGGTATGTTTTTAGGTGTGTTTTTTTTGTCAATGCACTTTTATTATTACTATTTTGCACTTTAAACTCTAATCATTTATTATTATGACTGTTGTTTTGTCGTTTGCCTTCATATCTGTGTCAATTTGACTATTATCTGACCCTTAAATTTTGTTCTTCCTTACCCCTTGATTAGTACGTTAACCTCATTTGTTATTTATTGTCGAATCCATTTTTTGTGTGTGATACAATCCATTCTATCCTTCTATAGACATACATTTTCCATCATACTATATAGATTTCGGTGAGGCGATATTTGAGTGACGTTAAAGTGACATTGAGAATAAACATCTACAGATTAGAACTAAGTTAGAATTTTCATTTCCAGTGGATGGTTGGTTAAAGTTTAAAGAATTCAATTTAAGGTTTTCATCACAAATTGACATCAACTATAATACCAAAATTGTATTTAACTAAATAGATGAATGAATTTCGCGCCAAAAATATATGACTTGTTATCGCATATCTGATTGATTCATCCATAAATTATAGTCTCGTTTAGATTTCTTCAATTTATCTAAAGTATTCCATTACATTAGATAAAGATCTCATAAAATATCGAACATCATTGAAGAGGTGTTCAAAGTAGATTCCAACGGATAATCTTAACTTCATCACTATGAAATAGACAACTAGTAATTGGTTTAATCAATAAAAGTACAATTATTAAGGTTGAATAGATAGAAGTGCAAGATGTTACATAATCTGGAACGTAATCGTAATTTAGTGCTAGCAATAAAATGCTGATTTGTAGTGATTGAATAGTTTAACTTCGAACAACTACAGATGTGCCAGTTAGTGGTCTTCAGTGCTGTAAGAGGTATGAGGGCGGTTATCACTTCCCGGTTGCCCACACAGTGGAAGGGTTCTACTGGAGATACCTGAAAAAAAATTGGATTAGAGGTGGTCTTAGTGACCTGAGAGCGTGACCTCAATGCCCAAGAGACAACTGCTTGAGGTCGGTCACACACGACCTTTGTATGAGTAATTTTTGTGTTAGCTCCGTACTTGTTGAGACCTTACCGCCGGAGACGGATATCTGTGGGATAAAGCGAGGTGTACATTTTTAGGGTCGACCTTTTCTAACACCACCCTTCCTTGCGCGAAGGCAGCATCGCTGTCATTCTGGTTGTCTGAAGGAAACACCATACTGCTTTCACAGTTCTGTGCAGACAGCAGTACGACTTCGCATTCGGACCTTGAGTTTGTTGCTTTTAGTCTTACCGCTCTTCAACCGACCTGTCTGACATGGTAGGACTTTGATGAACGGTTGTTTCAGCCGGTATAGCAACAACGGTCGGGTACAGATGTGTAGTGAATCGATTGCCACCAAATGCACTGATACAACCGAGGGTGGGGAGAGACTGCTCTCCCTCTCGAAATACTCTCACATGGCCACGTCACTGCCTTCTCACGGTGTTGTTTATGAGACTGAGAGGACGAAAAGTGAATGTCCGGGACTTTAACTGGGTTGGTGGCGACGGAGAGTCCACCCAGGGGAGTTGAGGAACCCTAATTCAAAATCAATGAAGCACATGAGCTGCAGGATCCTGAAGAAATAAATGACGTATAAACCTATTGTTAGTCACCGGCTACCATGGAACTCCATCTCCTGAAGTTGCTCCACTGCCTTGTGGATCAGACTTTTAGGTCGAATGCTTCGGGTGTGACCCCCTAAGAAAACCACCTGTTTTGATCTAAGCACCCGGGCAGTATCACATCCCACACACAAATCAAGTGACTTACGTGGTGCATATATATACGATACCCCTTTGTACTAATATTTATGTGTTCAAATAAATAAATAATCAATTAATTCCAAGGCATACACTAACGTTTATTAAATCCTTTGCTATACGAAAACTAAAACCCTTTTGATGTATTTTAAAAAAAAAACATATTTGTTCTTATTCTTCATCTACTCAGGTAATAGTGATTTACTATCCAGAATGTTGTTCATATTATTCACTTTATTATCCTCCTTGTCTCCTCTGTTTGATTGACCTTCTGGTGTTTTAATATGCAGTG